GCCTGCATTCTATTCAGATAATAGCAGTTGCTTCAGTTCTTGTCAGATCTCTTTACATAGCTCCCCATCTCAGGTTTCTGGATTAGAAACACCCCATTTCACATAAAAGAACAAAGTACTACTAAATGTGGAGTGCTACTGTACTAGCATTCTCACCTGAACTTACTCAGGAGTTGTGTAATATGCCACTGGGGGATTTTTGCTAGCTTGTTTAAATAACACTACCTTAACTGGTTTGTAAGGCAGTGTAAGTAGCTTAGCACAAATGCTTTTGAAAGTTTATGGGACGTGTACTTAAATCCTTTGGGCTCTTTGGAAAAAATCAAAACCCCTCCAAATCCCTAGCAAGTTCGCTTGAATAGACCAATTTTGAGTTAGCCCACTTAATCTGGCTGCTGATAAGCTTTGCTGACTTAAGGTACACAAGCTTTTGTGAAGCTGTCAGGCCATGCATACCAAGTGTTCCAGATATGATGTCCATTTTGTGCATGATTCCATCCTGGTCTCCTATACCACCACCTCGAGCTCCATACAGCCCCACAGCATGCACTTCATCTACGAAGGTGATTGCCCCATGCTCATGGGCCACATCACACAGCTCTTCCAGAGGACAGACAGCACCTAAGAATCAAAGCAGTGGTTGGCAGTTTAGGATTCCCTGCACTCAACTTTGACAAACATTAGAAGCACCCCAAACGCTAGGCGTTTTGGAAGCCTATTTTCACGTCAACCCCTACAGCATTTTACACTTTTAAATCTCAGATATAGATGATTTGAGAATCAACTGCACTACAAGAGGGTGATGGGTTTATGCTACCTTACCATCCATTGAGTGAACAGTTTCAAATGCAACAATTTTGGGAGTAGATGGATCGGACTTCTTCAGTAATTCTTGAAGGTGGTTGACATCGTTATGGCGAAATATGTGCTTTGGCACTCTGCTGTTTCGAATCCCCTGAATCATGGAGGCATGGTTTCCTGAATCGGAGTAAATCTCACAGCCTGAGGGAACAACCCAGTTACACTTTAAGTACAGAAAGCATTAGCTGCTTCCAAGCACCATGTTCTATATGGAAAGTGTGCAAGCAGTGAGGGCAGCATATTCTAGAAAGGAATGCTTTTGATCAAGAGTCCAAGTTAGACTATGAAGCAAAATAGTATCTAAGGCTTCCTTTAGTGTTTAACTAAAAGAAATTTGAGCTTAAGGAAATGCTGAAGAGTGTTTACAAGTCCTTAATGTTCTATCCAATCCTCTCAGAAATTCTGAAGTTAACAAAGTGAACCTGTCTTGGACAGGTTACCTGGGGAGTGGTCAAGGGAGAAAAGCTCTCACCCACAGGTGGGCAGAAACTAAATCCCTGCTGCCTCATGTTTAGGTGGTTTCAAATGTCAGAGCAGAAGTGGAGCCCTTTGTCCCCAACTCTTTCTGGGGCTCCTAGCTCCTGGTCCTCAGTTTCAGTAGGCTGCTACTAAGACTTGCAGAGTGGAGCAGAATTTAAATGTGGCAGTCAAAGGACAAATACTTCTCTGGCTGAGGAGGATGAATTCTCAAGTTTGGGCAGCCATTTGGGAAGTGTACTCCCAACTGCTCAGGACAGGGTGGCTGTGTCTTTGTGGTAAACATGGGATGCAGTTTGAGGTCTCACCTGGCAGCATTTTAGCTAGAGTGAAGAGGGTGGAGTCATTGGCTACAAAGCAAGATGAGAACAATAGAGCTGCATCTTTTCCATGAAGATCAGCTAGTTCTTTTTCCAAATCAACATGAAATTTACTTGTTCCTGAAATATTTCTTGTGCCTCCTGCTCCAGCACCATGTTGTTTCAGTGTATCCCTACAGAGTGCCCAAAGAGAGGCATTAGTGTTACTGAGCAACACAAAGATGAATATAGGATTATTGCTGAAAACATTCTACACAATCTCTATCGTTCTAAAAAGAGCTGGCTGTGAAAAGCAGCTGTTATTTTAAGGTCTTTGAGCAACTTGCACACCTCAGGGATTCAATAGGCTAATGAATAAGGTATCAAGTACAGCTGCAATATACAATCCAGTTTATCTGCTAATATTTGGGGGCTGCTGAGGAAGCTCAAGGAGCAGGGTCAGCGACTGACAGGTTATGTTGCAGCCCTGGAGGAAGGGGGGGAAAAACACCACCTATCAAGGCTTAAGAGAAGTATAAGCTTTAAGGCTTCATTATATGAAAGAGTAATGCCAAAGTAGTTATGAAGTACAGTAGAAGTATAAATTCCAGGGAGGACTTTCTATAAAAGCTTCTCTAGACCACCGTAGCTTGTAACTGCATCTTAAGAGCACAGTACTACTCACACAACTGCTCCACACACACGAGGGTGACGGCTCATCCCCAGGTAATCATTGCTGCACCACACAGACACCTCCTTTTTGGTGATAAGAGAATCAGAATAGTCATCTGCCATGGGAAAGATTTGTGCCTTTCTGTTTACTGTTTTGAATATTCGATAAGTATGATCCTTCTTCTTTTCATCTATCTTCTTCTCAAAGAACTGATCATACTGGAAGGTGGCCACAGCTGAAATAAGACAGACTTAAGTACATAGGAGTTAATCACAAGCAGACAGGCTACAGGGGTTTTGCCAGCTAAGCTTACATTTTGGCAAGTTATCCTGAAGCAGATGAGAGACACTTTCTGGTCTTTGCTTGAGCACAATATCCTGAAACTTCTTGAGCAAGCCACTCTGCTCTGTTCCCTCAGTTTGAGGGCTCCTCGCTGTGGAGTTAGCTGGTGTTTTGGCAAATTCTGTACCTACAGACATGGCAAAGAATTGCAGTGAGCTTAATCCTTTTGAAACAAAATGAAAAGGTAAGTTATGAGTTCAGCAAGGCAGATATTTTAAGTTACTCTAACCCTTTGTTCTTTAAGGGCCTGCAGTTGAATCCATGGGGCATCCTGTTGGCATCGGCTCTTATTGGCTTATAACTTTGCCCTGTATGAGACAACAGGGGAAAAACTAGTTTGCTAATCAATGACAAGACAATGCAATGTCCTTGCACCACACTTGGCTTATCTTGACTAGCAAACCTACTCTATAAGGGTGCAGCTCCCATCTGAAAGAGCTGGTACATAGCTAACTGAAGTCAGGAGTTCTGGTTAGCAGCTTCTGTTTAACTCCCAGCATTTTGTTCAGTTGGTAGAGTTTTCCCCCAAGCCACAGAGAAAACCAGAGAAGTAAAACAAGCTTCCTTTCTGAGAAAGGCAAAAGTTTTACTGATATGGCTGAAAAGCATCTTTCGACAAAACTTTGTCAGAAGCTTGCTCCTTTGAAGGACAGCCCTTCTGCACCAAGCCAGCCAACACCCTTCTGTCATGTCAAACAAATGAAAAAGGTTGCTTGCTTGCTTGCCAGCTTGGATTTGTGCTGCTATTTACATAGTACCCTGTCCTGACTTCCTTCTTCTCTGGATATACCACCTTGTCTATACCAGCACTTTGGTAAAGCTCACTTGAGTCCTAAACATCTACTTTGGGTACAAGTGCTACAGCTTGGTTCACAGCCCTAAAAGCAGGGTGCTATTCCCACATCAGAATCACCCTGGGCAATCATTGCAGAATACAGCTGATACACCATTAACACCCAGTGTCTGCTACAACAGCTTGTCATCTCCCATGGTCCTACTGACACAATTTAAGTGGTGTCAGTTAAGACCTGGCATGTGCTAGAGTGGAGTCAGGCACCAAAGGCAAACGCTTCAGAGCCCAAAATACCTACCTTTCCTCTCGGGCTGCATTTCCTGCACATCCTCCTGGAGTTCTAGGCTGGCTTTGCAGAAGACATTACTGTTCCCGTGATTCATCTGAGCTGCCAGGAAGGGGCACTTGGTAGCAGAGCTCGGGGGGCCGGCGGCAGCAGGCGGCGGGTGGCCGGCGGGCGGCCGGCATCCCTCGGCGCTCTGCTCAGCGGCGTCTTTGGCACTTTTGGCCTCTGAGGTGGGAGGAAGGGGAGGGGAGAGAGGCTTCAGTTTCATCGTTTCGGCGCGGTTACTGGAGCTTTTCTACCTAAGCCCTTAGCGCCGGACTTGGCAGGAGCCGACCGGGGCCGCTTAACCGAGCGTTTGCGTCTTATTTCGCGGAAGGAGGA